TTGCTGGGAAAAACCCAAAATTTGGGTTTTTCTTTTTTTTTTTCACTTTCAATGATAATGGTAAATATGACAAATAGTGGAGGTGAATTTCTCCAATGGGGGCACAGACAGCAATAAAAACCTGACAGGTGTTCTAATCCATCTGCATTCTATTCAAAACTAAAAAAAAAGGTTTTGCCTTTGGTTATACTTTATGTGTAATCCTAAATTTTATTAGATGTTCACTTGTATTTATTGCTGAATTTTCTTTGCTAAAAGGTAAGTGCAGATATCCCTATTTTTCTGTCTCAATTGCTTTTCCCCAATGTAATTGATATGAATGCAAAAAGGAGAAATCAGAAAAATGTGAGAGATAGGTCAGAAACATCTCAAACTGATCTCAAACACAAGTCTTGAACATACCACAAATTAAGAGCTTGCGTACAAGTGCATCAGGTTCAAACAGTCATCAATCACCATACTTTCTTTGATGGTGATTAAATAAACATATTCATCTTATTACCAGGCTCAACATGCAAAGTGATAACTAGAATTATTACCAGCCAAGGCACAGGTAAATGGTGATGCCCATACAGACTCCACCCTTTTTTACTCAAACATTATAGTTACAAATATATATATATATATATATATATATATATACACACTACTCTCAAAAAAATTAAAGGAACACTTTAAAAACACATCAGATCTCAATGGGGAAAAATATCATGCTAGATGTCTATGCTGATATGGGCGGGGTAATGTTTAGGAACGTAAAGATGCCCCATCGCTTGATGGACATAAAAATTATCAGCATACTGAAGATTGAATTCAAACAAACCCTGAAAATCAAAGTGAAAAAATGATGCAGCAGACTAGTCCATTTTGCTGAAATTTCATTGCAGCAACTCAAAATGGTACTCAATAGCAGGGCATGCTCCTAATGAGACGACGGATGGTTTCCTGGGGTATTTCCTTCCACATCTGGACCAGGGCATCACTGAGCTCCTGGACAGTCTGAGGTGCAACCTGGCAGCTTTGGATGGACCAAAACATGATATCCCAGAGGTGTTCTATTGGATTTAGGTCAGACGAGCATGGGGGCCATTCAGTGGTATAAATTCCTTCATCCTCCAGGAACTGCCTGCATACTCTCACCACATGAGGCCGGGCATTGTCGTGCATAAGGAGGAACCTAGGACCCATTGCACCAGCACAGGGTCTGACAATGTGTCCAAGAATTTCATTCTGATACCTAATGGCAGTCAGGGTGCCATTATCTAGCGTGTAGAGTTCTGTGTGTCTCTCCATGGATATGCCTCCCCAGACCATCACTGACCCACCACCAAAACAGTCATGCTGAACAACGTTACAGGCAGCATAACGTTCTCCTGGATTCTCCAGACCCTTTCACGTCTGTCACATGTGCTCAGGGTAAACCTGCTCTCATCTGTGAAAAGCACAGGACGCCAGTGGCGGACCTGCCAATTCTGGTGTTCAATGGCAAATGCCAATTGAGCTCTATGGTGCCGGGCAGTAAACACAGGGCCCACTAAAGGACCAGGCCCTCAGGCCCTCATGAAATCTGTTTCTGATTGTTTGGTCAGAAACATTCACACCAGTGGCCCGCTAGAGGTCATTTGGAAGGGCTCTGGCAATTCTCATCCTGTTCCTCCTTGCACAAAGGAGCAAACACTGGTCCTACTGCTGGGTTAAGGACCTTCTATGGCCATGTCCAGCTCTCCTAGAGTAACTGCCTCTCTCCTGGAATCTTCTCCATGCTCTTCAGACTGTGCTGGGAGACACAGCAAACCTTGCAATGACACGCATTGATGTGCCATCCTGTAGGAGTTGGACTGCCTGTGCAACCTCTGTAGGGTCCAGGCATCGCCTCATGCTACCAGTAGTGACACTGACCCTAGCCAAATGCAAAATTAGTGAAAAACAGTCAGAAAAGATGAGTAGGGAAACCTCCACCTGTAAAACCATTCCTGTTTTTGGGGTCACCTCACTGTTGCCCATCTAGTGCACCTCTTGTTAATTTCATTAACACCAAAGCAGCTGAAACTGATTAACAACCCCCTCTGCTATGTAATTGACCAGATCAATATCCCAGGAGTTTAATTGACTTGCTGCTATTCTCTGATTAAAAAGTGTTTCTTTAATTTTTTTGAGCAGTGTATACAGCCAGGAACCTTTATCACATACTGCACTGTGTGGGCTTGCATGCTGCAGAGAGAGATAGAGAGACAGAGAAAGAGTTGGGCAACATATCTGTTCTATTACTAAAGTTCCCACTGATGTTCATATATGGCAAAAACTTCTCAAAATAAAAAAAAAATGTTAATCAAAAAGTGGATTGCTTGTCAAGAAGGGCATATTGTTGGGGACATACAGTAACATATTTCCTATTTGACTTCATTTCTTTTTAGTTTTTCACGTTTTGTGTTTGTTGGTTATACATACAGATAATGTTGTGTTTCATAATGAAGCTATATAAACACAATACATAATTTATTACCATGGTAACGAATTTAGAAGAAAAAAATTGTATAGTTTACTTCTTATATTAAAAATTCTTTATTGCAAAATAAAGTTAATGTAAAAGATACAAGACTAAAGGGACACTGTACTAATTCAAGAATTACAAAGAATCTAAGTTGCAAAAAGGAATGCAGGTTTGCAAACATTTACAAGGAATGTCAGAATTCTCCAGATATAATAACAGCATAAAGAAAAGGTCTGGTTATGTAGACGTCCTTAAAATTCAGAGTTGGTCACTGCTGGTGAAGACATAGGAAACATAATAAAAATGTCTCTTAGTATGCAAAGGATTAAGGTGTTTGACAGTATCAAATGCATCTCAGTGACTTTACACTTTAATTAAAGTGGTTGTAAGCCCTTATACACAGTGAAGTGACTAGCCTTAAATGATACACAGAAATGAAATGAATCCTCCTACATAAGTTCTGCCTGTTTATATGCAATCTTCTCTTCTCTACAGCTGTTCAAAGTCCAGAATTTATACAGTTCATCTGAGCTTTCAAAAAGCAGGAGGCGTGGAGCTGAAATTACAATCTACAGAGCTCAGTGACAGCTGATTGGAGGAAGGGAACAACCCCTACCCACACAGCATATAGGAGCAGAGGTGAGGCTGTTAATTACTAGTTGTGTGCCGGAGCTCCCTCAACGTGATGTTTTTAACCTCATGGAATCAGGAAAACTTGTCAGAAGTGACAGAAGGAGTGAGGCAGCAGACAGAAATGACACTTAGTGCTCTGGAATGAGACAAGTACACACTATGAAGGGATATGCTTTGTTTATATTTAATGTCAGAGATTTAAAAACAGTTTAAAGTAGAAGTCTGGGCTAAAACTAACTATGCGTAAAACAGTTCACACCTACCTCCTAACTCCTATACTAACTACCCTCTAAAAGAAAGAAGATTTCATACTTGCCTATTCTCAGAGTGCTCCAGTCTAGTCAGATGATATCCCCAGTGGCTGACTTCAAGGGAGAGGAGAGAGTGCCAACAACAGATGAAATGCCTGAGCAGTGACATCATCCATATGGCTTACTATGGGGCATCCATTGTCATTGGTCCTTCTTCTCCCCTTGACCATGTGACTAGACCAGAGCTCCATGAGAATAGGTAAGTATAGTCATCTTCCTTCTACAGGGTAGTTATTATACTGTAGGTGCTAAAACGGGTGTGGGAGCAGATTAACCACTTCAATACCGGGCACTTTTACCCCCTTCCTGCCCAGTCCAATTTTCAGGTTTCAGCGCTCTCACACCTTGAATGACAATTGTATTGTCATGCAACACTATACCCAAGCTAAATTGTTATCATTTTGTCCACACAACTAGAGCTTTATTTTAATGGTATTTAATCACCATTGGGTTTTTTATTTTTTGCTGAATTAAAAAAAAAAACGAAAACTTTGAAAAAATAACACGTTTTTCTTTGTTTCTGCTACAAAAATTAGCAAATAAATAATTGTTCTTCATAAATTTAGGCCAAGATGTATTCTGCTACATTTGAAAATAACCAAAATCAGTATTTATTATTTGGTCTGTAGGACAGTTATAGAGTTCACAAACTATGGGTTATATCTGAAAATTGATCAGTCTTGCAGTACTCTGGTAACTGCATCTATCTCCTACCTCTGCTCTAACTAGAAAACGCATTGACTCCTGCTGTTGTTCTCTGGTAACTGCATCTATCTCCTACCTCCGCTCTTAACTAGAAAACGCATTGACTCCTGCTGTTGTTCTCTGGTAACTTCATCTATCTCCTACCTCCGCTCTTAACTAGAAAACGCATTGACTCCTGTTAAATTCTGAACAAATGGTGTTTTTATATTTGTGTATATGTTGACCAGTCCTCACCTTTTGGTGCACTCAGGTTTACGACTGTAGCCTGGTTCCTAAGAAACATCCCCCACTATTCATGTGATCCTTATCAGCTTCTAATTGGGGTGGAGTTGAATGCTCATTTGAGCATCTCCCTATAAATTTAGATCAGTTCATGGGGGGAGATCATTGATGGGGGGCAAGTCTCTGATGGGGGTGCTGCTTCAGATTGAGTGCGGCTTAGAACAAGTGCGAAGCAGTTAAACACAGCAGTTGAACTAAAGCAGGAGAACTTAAGCAGCAGGAAGACACAACAACAGCAAGAAACACTACTGCACGCTGGACAGACTGCAAGCAATCACCCTGGGAAACATCTCTTACATACCTGAGTCCCACTCCGTGTACCTTTTATACAATACATCCCCTCTTCTCCTTATCTTATTACTATCCTCTGTTTCCAAATCTCATTTCTTTACCCCTCTGCTCCACCCCAAAACTTGTACATATCCCCCTCATTGCTATCATCTCCCTACTACTGCTCTCATCACCTCCCCAAAATGCCTCTTCCACTCCTCCTCATTTTCCTCTCCTCCGTTCCCAAAATCCATTCACTATATCCCTCTGCTCCTCCCAAACACTTGTATATTGTGTCCTCACTGCTTCCTTCGCCCCTCTACGGCACCCACCGCCTCCTCCTATTATTCCACTCTCCCACTGACCCCAACACCTCCACTAGTAGTTTCTCACGCTCCTGCACATCCCGCTCCCATGCCACCTTTCTCACCCTTCTCCTCCTCATAACCGCAGGGGACATCTCCCCGAATCCTGGCCCTTCACCACCTCCCTCACCCACACAACACCCTCCCGCCTCCACGTCCTGCTGCAACCCCCGTAACTTAGTATCTGTCCCCCTGCTCCCTAAAATCTCCCCCCCATTTTCATGTGCACTCCTGAACGCCCGATCGGTGTGCAACAAGCTTACCGCCATCCACGACCTCTTTGTTTCCCGCTCTCTCAACCTCCTGGCGATTACGGAAACATGGATCCAGCCCACTGACTCTACCTCCCCTGCTGCACTCTCCTACGGCAGTCTCACCTGGACCCACTCACCCAGGCCTAACGGTCGTAAAGGTGGTGGGGTTGGTCTGCTCCTGTCACCGCATAGCACCTTCCGAGTCCTCCCAAACCCCCCCTCCCTATCCTTCTCCTCCTTCGAGGCCCACTGCGTCTGACTATTCTACCCAACCCCCTGATGCTGTGATATACCGGCCTCCTGGATCCATACCCCGCTTCCTGGATGACTTTTCCTCCTGGCAACCCTTCTTCCTCTCCTCTGAGCTACCCACCATCATCCTTGGGGATTTCAACATCCCTGTCAACCTCGACAACCCGGACACATCCCGTCTCCTCCACTTAACCTCCTCCTTTGCACTTGCACAGTGCATACAATCCATCACCCACTCTGACGGTAATATCCTTGATCTTGTCTTTTCTCCAACCGCTGCGCTCCCCACAACCTCACTAACACCCCCTTCCCTCTCTCTGACCACAACCTGATTACCTTCTCTATCTCCTCATCCTCCAACGCCTACCCCTCCAAATGTCACACTACTACCAGCCGTAACCTCCGCAACCTTAACCCTGCCCCCCTCCACTCTGCAGCTGCAACTCCATGACAGCATCCTTCCCCTGTCCTGCCCCGACTTGTCTATGACTGCCTACAACAACGCGCTGTCAACAGCCCTTGACTCTCTAGCGCCTTTAACCACACGCAACATCAGACCCCGACCGCTCCAGCCCTGGCAGACTGATCACACCAAAACCCTCAAACGACACAGTCGTGCCCTGGAGCGACTATGGCGCAAAACCAAATCTCAACAAGCCTTCACCTGCTACAAATCTGTCTTCCACACCTACACCTCCTCCTTCCACGCTGCCAAACAAGCCTACTTCCTGACCCTCATCAAGGCCCTCTCCTCCAATCCTCGCCGACTCTTCTCCACCTTCAACTCTCTACTCTCTCCACCCCCACCTCCACCCAGCACCTCACTCACTGCCCTTGAGATTGCCAATCACTTCAAAAACAAGATTGACACAATTCGCAAGGACATCGCCGCAACTCACACGCCCTCTCAACCCATCCCCTCTCACACAGCTACCCCTCATCCCCCCTCCCCCTCGACATAACCCACAGGGACTTCGACGCTGCTCAAACTCCCTCCAACCCCCTTCCCCCTCACTCAGCTACTCCCTCATCACCCCTCTCCCACGGCCCCACCACTGCTCTGACCTCCTCTTCCACCCCACCCTACATTCCTCATACTGAAGCTCCCCCAACACTCTGCACCTTTGACCTTACTACCATCGAGGAAGTCTACAAGATCCTCTTTGATGCCCGCCTCACCACCTGCCCCCTCGACCCTATCCCCTCACAACTCCTATGACCTCCCTCTCCCTCCATCCTACGCTCCCTCACCCACATCTTCAATCTCTCCCTCTCCTCCGGCACTTTCCCCTCCCCTCTGAAACATGCACACATCACCCCCATACTTAAAAAGCCCTCCCTGGACCCCAATGACCCGAACAACCTCAGACCCATCTCCCTGCTCCCATTTACATCTAAACTCCTCGAGCACCTAGTCTACACCCGCCTATGCTCTCACCTCAATGACAACAACCTCCTCGATCCCCTTCAGTCCGGCTTCCGTGCCCTACACTCCACCGAAACTGCCTTACACAAATTCTCCAATGACCTGCTAACTGTCAAAGCTAATGGCCATTATTCAGTGCTCCTACTCCTTGACCTCTCTGCGGCCTTCGACACAGTCGACCACCCCCTCCTCCTCAAAAAACTACACTCCCTCGGCCTCAGAGATTCTGCGCTCTCCTGGCTCTCATCCTACCTGTCACAACGCTCTTTCAGCATTACCTATAATGCTACCACCTCCCCCTCACTCCCCCTCTCTGTTGGGGTCCCTCAATGCTCTGTCCTCGGGCCCCTTCTCTTCTCCATCTACACCTCCTCCCTTGGCCAACTCATACACTCTCACGGCTTCAACTACCACCTCTATGCCGACGACACACAAATCTATCTCTCAACCCCCCACCTCACCCCCTCGGTCTCTGCCCGAATCACACACCTGCTGAGCGACATATCAGACTGGATGTCGCTCCACTTCCTTAAACTGAACCTCTCCAAAACCGAGTTTCTTGTCTTCCCCCCAGCCCAGACACCACCCCCCATTGACTTCTCTATCACATCCAACAATGCTACCATCAAACCCACCCTGCAGGCCAAAGTACTTGGTGTCATTCTGGACTCCAACCTATCCTTCAGCCCCAAGTCCAATCTTTAACAAACTCATGCAGACTCCACCTCCGCAACATTGCCAAAATCCGCACGTTCCTAACCCCAGAAACCACTAAACAGCTCATCCACTCCCTCATCATACCACGACTTGACTACTGCAACTCCCTCCTCACCAGCCTGCCTCGCCGCTGGCTATCCCCGCTTCAGTCGATCCTGAATACGGCTGCCAGACTCATTCACCTTTCCAACCGCTCCGTCTCCGCCACCCCCCTCTGCCAATCCCTCCACTGGCTTCCGATTGCGCAACGGATCAAATTCAAAATCCTAACGCTGACGTACAAAGCTGTCCACCATACTGCCCCGAACTACATCACTGACCTAATATCCAAGTACCGCCGCCCAGCACGCACACTCCGCTCCTCACAAGACCTCCTTCTCTCTAGTTCCCTGGTCTCCTCCTCCCATGCCCGCCTCCAGGACTTCTCCAGGGTGTCACCCATCCTCTGGAACTCCCTGCGCAACCCATCAGATTATCACCTACTCTCCTCTCCTTTAGGCGCACCCTGAAAACCCATCTCTTCAGGGAAGCCTACCCCACCCCCTGCTAACTTGCCGACCTCCTCCACTCTTCCTACCACTCCATCCCCCACAGCTATCTCCTCCTGTGCCACCATCCCCTCCCTCCTAGATTGTAAGCTCGAAAGAGCAGGGCCCTCAATCCCCTCATGTTTTGCATTGTATTGGTATTGTTCTGTTCCCCTTTGTAATGTACAGCGCTGAGCGAACTATTGGCGCTTTATAAATACTGTATAATAATAATAATAATAATAATACTGACAGCCGATCAAATTTCTTGAGGCCCCAAAAATGTCAGAAAGTACATATATCCTCCAAATGACCTCTTTTTGCAAAGTAGACAGTCTGACGTATTTCATAAGAGGCATGTAGAGTTTTTTGAAGTTGTAATTTTTTTTGTCATAATTTTTTGGAAAATAAAATTAATTTCATATTTTTTTTTGTTAAATACTGTCACCAGTGCAGTACTGCCTCATCATATAACTGGTGTGGCAGTGATCAGAGACACTGACTGGTGACAGTACAAAAAAAAACGACATTGCTTACACCATATACAGTATCCCAATGAGTTGAACTGTTATGTCTTTCAAATAAGGAATTTAGGTTTTTCTAAACAATTGTTTTTAGTTTTTAGAGGCTTTCTAATGACTGGCTTGGTACAAATGGATTGGTGCAAAGCAAATATGGTAGCTATTTAAAAAAAAAATAATGATAAGAGTCTTCATACTTGTAAGTATTATTTTGAGTGTAGGAAAAAAACTATATTTTTGACTTTTTGTTATTAAACATGTCCAGTAAAAAATTTTTAAAAATCAACTTTTGTCATAAATTTATACCAAAATGTATTCTGCTACATGTCTTTGCTAAAACAAATCCCAATACGTCTAAATTAATTGGTTTACTTGAAAGTTATAGTGTTTGTAAATAAGCGACTTACTTATAGTGGGACTGCAGGACTGCGGCAGACATTTTGACACTGGGGGGGAACTGACTTGGTGTCACTGACATCCCCAGTGACACCAATACAGTAATCAGTGCTAAAAAAAAAAGCACTGACACTTTACTATAGGCACTGGGCAGGAAGGGGTTAACGTGCCACCCTGTAGCAGTATTTCTGCTATAGGGCGGAAGGGAAGCAGTAAAATAACAAATAAACGTACCTGCCCTGAACAATGGAATTGCACAGAACAGCCCCAAACCTCCTCTTCTCGGGTCGCCTGCTGGCGTTCTTGATATTGAGGAAATCAATTGTGGCTGGGAAGGATCTACTGTTGAAGGAAGGGTCTATTTTTGCTGACTACTTGAAGGTCTACTGATTCTGGCTGCTGAGAGATCTATTGTTGCTGGGGTGGATAAATTGTTTCTGGGGAGTTTTGTTGCAGGAGGGTCTGTTGTTGCATGGGGGGGTCTATTGTTGTTGGGGGAGTCTATTGTTGCTGGCTGAAGGGGATCTATTTTATTGCTTTTCTTGTTTCATTAACACATTCCATACGAATGAATGATACTTGGTTCTGTATTCTCAAAAGTGGGTAAGGGGTGGAACCAAGGAGCAGTGCTCAGAGGCAGGTAGAGGGTGGAAACAAGGGGTGACTCGAAAGGGAGAGTTCCTGCACCTCATCTTAGAGAAAAAAAAAATCCCTGGTGGTAGGGATAAAAATATTTAAAGGCAAACAAACAACAATGCATGTGTAACCTGATATTCGTCTTATTTCCTCATAAATCAACAGTTATTTTTTAATTCCTTATATGGTATCTAATGTTTATTTGTATTTACATTGTAGAATGTTGATAGAAATCTATCTGCTCTGCTTTTCAGGATCAAGAAGGACCTCTTAAATGTTTTCTAAATACAGTGTACAATTTCCTAATGACACAAGTTGTGTCCATTCATGAAAGTGTTTGAACTAAAGACTTGGTAATAGGATTTTTTTCTTTTTCTTTTAGTTTTGGGTAGTGCAGGGAAGGGTTAGAACCCCTGTCTGGCTCTGATTGCTATCTGGAATATCATTAAAGAGATTATCCCTCATCTCTTGTACTGCTGACAATAGTTTTACCAGACAGAAGTGAAACAGACAGCAATAAAAAATCTGATAGGGATTCTAGTCTTTCCCCATTCTTCAAAAAATGCATTTTCATTTGTCT